GAACCTCCCAGAACCAAGAGGACAGGCTGGCAGGCTTCCTGTCGAGCGTGGCCTCTCTGTGCAGTCGCTCTGGCTCTGCTGTGACTTCTCGTGGGAGCAGGGACGGAGGTGACGCTGCACTTAGACTCCCCAGTTACCCAGAACCCTCCTGGAGAGGGCAGACCCCACGAGGAGCGCATCACTGCACGCGCACGCCTGGCACAGAGCAGCTCCCCTCGCTGTGGGGATGCGTGTGAACTCGCTGTCTGCAGGCTGGCCCAGCAGGTGGCCCAGTGTGGGCGGCAGCAGCCGGGGGTTATGGTATGTCCGTCCGAAGAACAGCGTCCCCAGTCCGTCACTCGGGCTGCAGTTCTGGGTCAAGTTCTCTCTGTGCTTCTCGGCGACCTGTGACCCACGAGAACAGTGAAAATGTCAAACCTGCGTGTGCTGAGCGTGGGCCTGTGTGCGGTTCCGTGTGCGGCTGGGACGCTCGGTGTGTCCCGGCGCTGGGAAGTGTCCTCCAAAACTCTCCATGGTGTCCTCGCGACCCTTCCCCCGGGGCTGTGCCCACCTCGGCCTTTCCTGCTGCCCCTGCTCTCTGCCCGGGGGCTGCCCTGGCGTCCTGCATGTGGGTCCCGGGGCTCGTCCAGGGCTGGTCTCAGGGCTGGTCCCAGGGGCTGGCACTTTAAATGGGCGTTTTCTGGTCCTGCTGCCTGGAGGGTCACCCAGCTACACTCGGCCGCTGGGGCGCGGAGACGCACCGTGGCCCCTGACGTGGTGCCTTAGGAGGTAATTGGCACCGAGGAGGTGCATGGAGGGGTGGATGGGTCGTTCGTGTAAACTGTCTGGGAGGGTGTCTTCAGCGAGAGCTCAGTCTTCACTCCAACACCCGAGACGTGGGGACCAGCGCTCACCCCGTCTCAGTCTGTGAAGATGCATCAGACACACCTCATGTTTGTCCTTAAACGAGATGTTCATGATTCAGTTCAGCCTCTTGGGAAGTGACATTTTCAGGACAAAATTAATATCCATTTCTATGCCTCAGAGTCAGTGTTTCCAAAACCTTGGTAAGCGCACTGTGACCAGGACCCGCACTGATATGCGTGCGCCCGTGAAAGCCAGGGTCCCAGCAGGCGACACTTTCTGTGAGTGAGTGAGCAGGAGTCCAGTGCATCCAGGCGGCTCAGCCTGCGAGCGCACGGACCCGTGGCTGGAATCCGTCTCGGCTGCGCGGGCAGCAGCACCTCTGCAACCCCCCCACGTGGCTGCGTGGCTCTGGCCCCGGGGACGGGCTGCTGGCGCCTCCCGCCATCCCTTCCTCCCGGTCCGTGAGGGGTGGTGTCAGGAGTTGGTTCACATGAGTGGCCAACAGTGTGTTAGTGACTGTCCAAGGCAGCATCTGTCTCCAGGAGCCTGACTAGCCATTGCTACTCTGTCTTCGCCACAGAACGTTGTCCTCGCTGACCTTCCTTCTTGGAAGGTCGTTTATCGATGACCTTATTGTACTGTCAGGAAAGCACATATAAAAGTTAACGTCCCGGTGGCTATCGGTGACCGCAGGACTTTAAGTGCTAAAGTGTCTTTGCATCGAGTATGTTAGTATATGAACAAATCACAAACATGACAATGTGTGAAAATACTAACGTAGCAGGTGGAATGTCATTTGTAAAATGGGCTTTTCAGTTGGGTTTCGGTATCTGAGAATGAATACCACCTATTGCTAACGAGCCGGGACCTTCAGGATCAATGATGTTCTGATTGAACGGGCTGAGGGGTTAACACATTTGCTCGTATTAGTAGCACAGATGGGAGGAGGTATTCTGTGTTTTTGCCTGGAAATATCATTCAGTTCTTTGACTTTTTCCCCACGATATGCGAGAGTCTGAGAACAGTTATGATCGGAGATGGTTTCTGGACCCGGAAGCTGACAGCTTACCCAGGACTCCCCTCTGGTTGCGGACAACAAGCATTAGGGAAACTGAACCCGCAGGAGGTCTTGTGGCCTCCAGGCCATGGGCTCCCGTTGCTAGGAGATGAGGGGAAGCTTGGCCAGGACCCTGGCCTGGGCTCCTGAGCCGTGTCCCTCCCTCTGCGGACCTCCAGGCTGAGGAGGGGGAGGAAATGGGAATGTTTTCACCGAAACACACCTGTGCCCATGGAGTATTTTTGGTGAAATGCTTTTCTCTCTGCCCGGGAGCCTGCTGGGCTGTCGGCACCCGCGTGAGTGGTTGTGGAGACTGTCGGCCATGCGCCCAGCCGTGCGTCCCTGTCCGTGCGTCCCTGTTCCCATCCCCAGTCGGCCAGGTGCCTCCAGCCAGAGGGACACAGCAACCAGGGGAAGGGGAGGAAGGGAACACCTTGTTCGCCTCTTCCTCCCGTTTTCCTGTCTGCCCCTCCCTGGGTTTGCCACAGGCTGCAACCAGGGCCCCTCGTGAGGTCACACACAAGCGCCCCCCTTTCCCGCTCCATCGCCCTTCCTTCCTGGGGTGCATCTTCCACACCTGCCCCTGCCCTGGGCTACCTGAGGGTGCGGGGCAGTGGGGTCACCTGGACTGCCTGGGGGTGCGGGCAGCGGGGTCACCTGCATGAGGGCGGAGGGCCGGGATGTCTGGGGTCCGGCCTCGGACAGTCAGTGGTGCCCAGAGGGCAGGGACCCCAGGCGGAGGGAGGAGGTGACGGACACGCTGTGAAGAGGAAGCCACTGAGGAGCACAGTCTGGGAGACCTTGGACCTCGAGGCCCTTGGATGTGATAGTGACCTCACGTCCCCGGGAGCCGTGGGAGGTGGGGTGTTGGGGGAGGACTCCCCAGCTTCCTCCGCCCGGAGGCACATTGTGGGAGCAGCCCCGGCCGCTGAGGTCTGCGAGGAGCCCCCTTGCTCGGGGCCAGTCCAGCGAGGACCTGCCGGTGGCTGCCCACGGCCTGAGCTGAGTTCCTGCCTGGAGCCCAGACCTTCAGCATTTGTGCCTTCGGGCATCTCGATGCTGGACTTTACATCTCCGTCGGTCAGGGCCACACCAGAGAGGGCCCCGCCTTCGTGTTGCTTATGTTGGTGCTCAGGTGATGGTACATTTAAACGTTGCTCTTAGCTGGGTCACAAGGTAGAACTGCTCAGCATAAATATTTAATTTCCCTGCTGCCTGAGCTCCCAGAGGGAAGAGCATCCCAGCTACTGTTTCCCCTGAAGCCTGGCCTGCAGGCTGCTCATCACTGCCTTTCCTGTGGGAACACACACGACACTAGCGAGTGGAATACAGCATCTCGCAAACGCAATGGCCAGCGTAAGGAAGTGGTGTCTCCATGCATGTCCGAGGGAACGAGCGGGCGTTGGTGTCACTGAGCTCCTCAATACCCGAGGACGGTGGGTTTTAACAACTGGAATAACTAAGGTCATGTAGAGAGAACGGCAGACGAATAGAGGGACGGAACGCAGGCCGTCGCTGTGGAAACGGCACGTGCTGCTCCGAGAGGAGGCCTCTTTCCCGCCGCCTGGATGTGCGCGTTTCCTCTCGGGTCCTCCTCCCCTCCCACCCCTCTTGGTGTTTGCACAGATGTGTACCTTCCCGGGTCCCCGTAGCTGACACATGAGTTACTAAAGGAAGCAGGAAGGCGTTTGCATTATTTTAGATTTCAAATTTGGATTTTAAAAAGCCTTTTAGAATTCCAGGTGATTAAAAAATAATCTACTCATTGAATGAGATCAAACCATGTCCTTCATGTGTTGGTCTCTGGAGTTTGTACCACACTTTTTAAAAAAATATATTTTTACTGATTTCAAAGATGAAGGGAGAGGGAGAGAGAGAAACCTCAATGATGAGAGAGAATCATGGATCGGCTGCCTCCTGCACGCCCCCGACTGGGGATGGAGCCCACAACCCGGGCATGTGCCCTGACCGGGAACGGAACCCTGACCTGGTTCCTAGGTCGATGCTCACCACTGAGCCGCGCGGCCGGGCTGTGCCCTGACCAGGAATCGAACCCTGACCTGGTTCACAGGTCGACGCTCACCACTGAGCCGCGCGGCCCGGCTGTGCTGCTGTGCTGACTCAGCTGGTGCTGACCCGCCGGGGCGAGTGGACACTCCCTGTTGGTTCTGCTCGTGCGGACCTTTCCCGGGAGATGCATGTGAGAGAGGGCGGCGGGCCCGGCTGCTGAGGAGTGGGGAGGAGGCCCCTAGGCCAGGAGCCCATCTGACCCGCCCTCACCCCAACAGGGTCTCCCCTTCGGTGAGCACTTTATGGCCTCTTGATGTTTTTAGGGGGAAAATCCAGAATCAAACTTTTAGGCAAACGTCTTCATTTCTTTAATGACTAAATCCTTCACATTTCTTAAGTCATCTCCCTGCCATGGTGCACAGAAAAGGGGGTGCAGGTCTAAGGAGAGAGCTGAGCCGGAGAGCTCCCTGCTGCTCGGGCGGGGGGCTCAGGCTCCCCTGCCCGGAGCTGTGGTCTCGGATGGAGGGCACCCAGCCAGTCTGCAGCGACCTCTGCTGGCCGGGACCCGGGATGAGAAGCCCTTTCCGTCCTCTCTCCCCTCTGAAGTCAGTGCCTGGTGCTCCGTGCTCAGTGGCTTCTTTAGAGCTCGGCTGCCCAGGCCACGGGCGAGAGGCGCCTTTGCGGGTGCTTTGCCTCTAGGCCGCGGAGAACGCCCCGCGCTCTGCCTGTGCTGTGACAACCTCTGCCTGGGCTGTGACGACCTCTGCATGTGCTGTGACGACGACGGTAGCCAGCGTTGATTGCTCGTTAGCGTGTGCCCGGCACAATCCCAAGTGGTTTTACGTGAACTGACGTAACCTCTCCCAGCCTGTGAGGTGGGCAGTGAAGTCCCCACTGGGGGGTGAGGGGCCGGCTCCTGGGCACACAGCAGTGGGCAGCGAGGCACTGGCTCCCAGAGCCCTTTCCTTTTCCTCTAGAAACTGCGGTTGCTTATGACGTACAATGTGCTGTCTCGCTGTTTTTCGTGTGCGCTCAGTGGCGTGAACTACATGAACGCACTTCTGCCACCACCACCACCATCTGCCCACAGACGCCTGCAGGGCTCAAAGTCCGCTCCCACCACCAGCGCCCCACCCCTGCCCTGGCGCCACCTTCCCACCTGCTGTTGACAATGGACTCTTCACTTGGGGCCTGGCAGCCTGCGCACATTTCATTGATCTGCTTTTTCTATGCCACGTACACTGCTTTTCTCTTGCCTTTATGATCAACGTGCGTGCGTGCATGTGTGTGTGCCTGTGTGCGCATGCGTGTGTGCACGCGTGTGCATGCATCTGCGTGCGTGTGTGTGCACACCCATTTCTGTGGTGCGAGGCTGGCTTCCCCGTCCTGTCCTTGCACCAGGTAGAAAGTGTGAGGTTTGAAATGATCCCTGGCTGACCCTGGTTGGAAGGTCAGTAGATGTTGGTGGGGAACTCGGAGGGACAGGAGAGCGTGAAGACGGTCATGGTGACTCTTCCGCTGCCTCCTAGAGACCACGCTGTGAGCTTGGTGCTGTGACCCAATCCTTGTTTTCATGTCTGTAAATCACGTGTTTATAAAGTTAGACTGTGTTTGGAGCATGTGGCTTTGTAACCGACTTGTTTCCCATGACGCCAGGGGAGCTGCTGTGAATCATTAAACAGGAGGTTTGGAATTCGAGGAGCTTGCCTCCCGGTGACCGTGACGGGCAGGAGCGTGCAGCGTGGTGCTGAGCGCTGAGGGCCCGCGTGGGAACAGCTCTGTGGCCGTGGGAGCCCACAGGAGAAAAAAGTGGGGGGGCCGGGGGGGGGGGCGGGCAGTGTGCTCCCCAGGTGGGGGTGCAGTGGGTGAGGCAGGGGTGACCTCCCTCCAGAATGTCACTGTGCAGCTCCTTCGCAAGAGGACCTGCTGACACCAGGACCTCGCAGCAGGTACAGTCTAAGGCGCGAGCCGGCGGCGCAGGCAGCAGGCAGCAGAGCGCGGCAGAGATGGTTCCTTGCGATAGCGTTTGTTTCCTTTGGCCGTAAACCCAGCCCTGGGATCGCTGGACCCGGTGGTGGTTCTGGTTTTACCTTTCCGAGGAGCCTGCACGCTGTCGCCCACCGTTGCTCTCGGCAGGTCTGGTCCTGGGACAGCTCATGGCACTGAGCGAGTGGCGGCTCCTCCTGGGCTGCGGGTCTAGTTCTGTGAAGGTCATGTTGTCTTTAATTGTGCCGGTTGGTAAAAACGGGAATGTTTTCGGGGAAAACCTCAGAGCTGGGACACTCAAAGGGTCGGTCGCCTTGCAGAGGTCCCCTGACCGTCTGTAGTCGGCAGGCTCGGGAAAGACCCGACCCCCAGAAAAAGGGAAAAGCGTAGGTGGAAAGTCAGGAAGGTACCAGAATGTTCCAGAACATTCCAGAGAATTCCAAGTTAAGTTTGTTGCTTAGTGAGTTTTTTAAAGGACCTCCTGCTGCTTGCTGGCCATTGGCCGTGAACAGGCTGTAGTTCAGGCCAGAGAACCCCACCCAGCCATTGGCTTATTTGTGGACGTCGACTGTGAGTGTGTAATTCTGCAAACAGAAGCGCACCTGCTCTGTAGGATGTGCAGGCGGAGCCTTCTGGTCCCTGTGCACAGCTACAGTGGGTCTGTGTGCGCGGAAATCTCAGTGCTGTCCCTCACACAGCCTGACATTTGTTTTGGAAAATTGTTCGCAACAGATGGTGGTGGGTCATCCCGAGTCCACTAGGGACGTCTCCACGCACGGCCCGTTTCCTAACTCTGACCTGAAGCAGGCTCTCACCGGGGAGTGGGTTTCAGCTCCCTGGGCGGGAGCTCCCGGCCGCTCTGCCCGGCAGCCCTGGCTCAGCAGCCCCACGCTCCACGCGCTCCACACGCTCCACGCGCTCCACACGCTCCACACGCTCCACGCACCGGGCGCTCCAGAAGGTTGTGGGTTGAACTGGGGTTCACTCCAGGAGGCGCTCCTTCTGTCCCTCCTTCCCAGGCGCGTTGTGGGCTCCGCGGGCACTGGCTGTGGGCTCCGCGGGCACTGGCTGTGTGGGCAGCGGTGACCCCACTCTCTCTGCGCAGGAGCTGTCCAAGATCACCATGCCCGTCATCTTCAACGAGCCCCTGAGCTTCCTGCAGCGACTCACCGAGTACATGGAGCACACGTACCTCATCCAGAAGGCCAGCTCGCTCTCCGACCCCGCGGAGAGGATGCAGGTGGGCGGAGGCACGAGCAGCCCTGGAGCGGGGGTGGGGTGGGGTGGGGTGTGGTTTTAGGGAGGCCTGAGACTTCCCTGCCCCCCGGCCCCGCCCCAAACACACGACACGGAGTCCTGTGGCCCAGCAGGCGGCTGGGGAATGTCCTGGAACAGAGGCGGCTAGTCTGGTGTCCTCTGCATCCTTCCCGCCACCCGGTCAGAGCACCACGGGGTGGGGGACCCTTGAGCCCCGTGGGGAAGCAGGAGGGTCCAGGGCACACCCAGGGCTGCTGAGCTGTTCTGAGTCTTCATTTTATTTTATTTTTTAAAAAACCGTATTTTTATTGATTTCAGAGAGAAAGGGAGAGGGAGAGGGAGAAACGTCGATGAGAGAGAATCATGGATCGGCTGCCTCCTGCACGCCCCCCACTGGGGATGGAGCCCACAACCCGGGCCTGTGCCCTGACAGGGATCGAACCGTGACCTCCTGGGTCATAGGTCATCATTCGACCCCTGAGCCACGCCGGCCGGGCCATACATTACAGCCCGAAGCAGAATGTCTGTGCCTGACAAGGAGCAGGCGAGGCTGTTCTAACCTCCTGCTACTCGTCCCGTCCGCAGTGTGTAGCCGCGTTCGCCGTGTCCGCGGTGGCCTCGCAGTGGGAGCGCACGGGGAAGCCCTTCAACCCGCTGCTGGGAGAGACGTACGAGCTGGTCCGGTGAGAGCTCACTGTGGATTTGCACGATTCGTGTAACTTCTAAAGTGAAAAGAGAAAATGCATATTCTGAGCATCACTGACGATGTTGTGTGGCCAGAGCAAGTGCACAGTTTGGGTGTTTGTTTCTGTGATACTGACTATGGTAGGGACGATGCCAAACACACGAAACCTTGCACAGCAGACATTATAACATGCGGTTGTGGGGATGTCACGATTCCTGTTCTTGTGTGGATCGTAAGACAGGACTGGGGTTTATAATCACATGAAACGTCTTGGCATAACTGTCCAGCGAGTGTGTCTGCATCGCCGTTGTGTGCTGGCCGCAGCCTGCTTCGTGCGTCCATGCAATTAGGGATTCACTTGGCTTTAATTTTCTGAGTGTCCCCGTTCTCTGCACAGTTCTGATCTCATTCATTCCGATAGTTGACAGTAGACACACTAGGCCTTTCTATCTGATCGGAAAGGAATGAAACGTTTCAGGCTTCCACTGCTAATATTCATTCTCAGTTTGTGCAACTCACTGAAATTCACGTTTTTCTTTATTTTAATAAGTTTAAATGGCTAGAGTTACAGTAACAGAGGACTTAGCAGTTTGAGTGCATTTGTACAGTTTATATTAACTTGTTCTTTCATCAGGATAATAAAGAATCATTTACTTTGTTGAGTTTGTATAATATTTTTGACTGAAATGACAGTAATGTACACTGTCCCTGATGAGAATTAATGACAATGTGATTTTATTCTTAATCTTTAGAGATGACCTTGGTTTCAGACTCATCTCTGAGCAGGTCAGCCATCACCCGCCCATCAGCGCCTTCCATGCTGAGGGGCTGAACAATGACTTCGTCTTCCACGGCTCCATCTACCCCAAACTCAAGTTCGGGGGCAAGATGGTCGAAGCAGAGCCCAAAGGGACCATCACCCTGGAGCTTCTCGAGTAAGTTGGGGCCAAGCCATTTGTATATACACGTGCACACGAGTATACGCATCACGCGTGAGTATACGCATCACACGTGACTATACACATCACACGCAAGTATACGCATCACACATGACTATAGGCATCACGCGAGTATACGCATCACGCAGGAGTATATATATTCACATGAGTATACACATCGCGTGTTTGGAGTTTGGTGGTGGTTACAGGGCAGTTTTTCCTGAAGCTTTTGCATCCTTTTAAGAAACAAAGTGGTTAGACGACCCTGCTTTGCCGGAGCCAACACTCTGGAGCCCGCTCCCCAGAGCTCGGAGTGGCTGTCCTCAGCAGTGGCGTTTGAGACAAACGCGCTTTTTAAACAAAACAGCACTTCCTGCTTATGTTTGGGTTTGGCTTTACTTTTGTTTTTTAGACACAATGAGGCATATACGTGGACAAACCCGACCTGCTGTGTGCACAACATCATCGTGGGGAAGCTCTGGATCGAGCAGTACGGCAACGTGGAAATCACCAACCACAAGTGAGGCCCCGCGGGCACCCGGCTCCCTTCCATGTCACCATCGCTTTCAGTGGCTTTGTTAAGAAAAGCTCTAGATAAACGCAGACAAGCACTATCACTCTTAGAGAGTAGGCGTCCATTCATCTGATGAACAGAGTTCATTGCTGTTTCTGATGAGTGTGAACTCGGTGACGTCTGAGCCGCCCCGGCCTTGATGAATCTTAATACAGCTGCTCGCTGTGCTTCTGTTGCGTTTGTATTATTCGCGCAGAGGGTGGGGTTGGGGATATAACAGTTAGGAAGAGTGGGTTCAAAGCCTCCTTTGTGACCTTAGGCAAGGGTCGTGCGAGCTTGGGCTGTAACAGTGGCACTTTCCACGGCGTGGGGGGCGGCACATCCCAGATGAAGGGGCAGAAGTGATATCTGGGAAGCCCTCTTCTGGTTTGCAGGTGGCCATGCTGTGTGTCTTCACCTAGCAAAGAGAGAGAGACAGAGAGCGTGCATGCATCTCTCCTCTCTCTTCTGAGGGCACTAATCCTCTTCACAAGGGCTCCACCCTCGTGACCTAATAACCTCCAAACTCCATCTCGTCGGGGGCTAGGGCTTTAACATATGGACTTGGAGACACACAGATATTCATTCCATAGCAACAAGCCACCTACTCTTTAGGGCCGCGCTCACTTTTCCTTGTCGGCCCAGTGGCAGTGCTGCTGGGAACGTCACCATAGTCCTCGTTCTCTCCTGCCTCTGCTGCGCTGAGTGGTAACCTGGGCTCCATGTCTCCTTCGTAGGACCGGGGACAAATGTGTGTTGAATTTCAAGCCATGTGGCCTTTTTGGGAAGGAATTACACAAAGTTGAAGGCTACATTCAAGATAAAAGGTAAAGTGTCCATTTAAAATGCTTGAATAGTATAGGTGTAGTTTGCTAAATAGTATTGAAATCTGCTGCCTTAACCTCAGAATGAAGCATTTCAATACAACGAAATACCTTTCTTACAGGCAATCTGTTTCTTTAAAGAATCCTATGTAATAAAAGGCTAATATGCAAATTGACAGAGTTGCAGAACAACCAGTCGCTATGACGTGCACTGACCACCAGGGGACAGACGCTCAATGCAGGAGCTGCCCCCTGGTGGTCAGTGTGCTCCAGGGAGAGCGCCTCTCAGCTAGAAGCCAGGATCATAGCTGGAAAGTGCAGTGGCGGTGGCTAGAGCCTCTCCCGCTTCCGCAGCAGTGCTAAGGATGTCCACCTGCCGGCTTAGGCCCTCTCCCCGAAGTGGGCCTATGCAGGCAGTCGGACATCCCCTGAGGGCTCCCGGACTGTGAGAGGGCACAGTCCGTGCTGAGAGATGCCCCCCCCCACCAGTGCATGAATTTCATGCACCGGGCCTCTAGTTCTATCTAATAAAAGAGAAACATGGTAATTAGCATACGTCCGCTACCCTTCCCATTGGCTAATCAGGGCGATATGCAAATTAACTGCCCGCCAAGATGGCGGCCGGGAGCCAGGCAGCTTGAAACTAACAAGAGTCTAAAAAAATAAGGAAAGGCTGGAAGCTTCAGTCGCCAGGGGTGTGTGACCAGCTGCAAACAGCCATTATACCCTCACCCAGGCTGGCCAGGCACCCAGTGGGGACCCCCACCCTGATCCAGGACACCCTTCAGGGCAAACCAGCCATCCCCCACCCATGCACCAGGCCTCTATCCTATATAGTAAAAGGGTAATATGCCTCCCAGCAGACACTCAGGGATCCCGGTGTGTCCCAGTGATTTGTCACCAGGATCAGCGGAGCCGGGAGGCAGCGCCCAAACCCCCTGATTGCCTTGCAGCTCTGTGTGTGACAGGGGGTGGGGCCACAACCTCCCTATCAGCCCTGCTCTGTTCGTGGCAGGGGAAGGCCCTGCA